TAAAAACAGAATATTGTCAAAAACCTGCATAGTCTTGGGGCACCTGGGTGGCACAGTCTGTTAAGAGTCTGCCTTTGGCTCCAGTCATGATCCCAGGATCCTGGGATTGAGCCCCGCATCGGGCTCCCTGCTCAGTGGAGAGCCTGCTTCTCCCTCCTCCCCTTCCTCCTGCTTGTGCTCTCTCTCTCTCTCAAATAAATAAATAAAATCTTAAAAAAAAAAAAAAGAAAAAACTTTCACAGTCTAGATTTTCTGATTTTTAAAAAGTTCAGTCAGGGTTCAGAGAAAAGTGTCTCTCAAGTGGGCCTAAGGTTAAGTAATATATTTTAACTAACAGGCTATGAGAAATCTAAAGGAAGCCTGAAAAATTTTACATTTTTAAAAAATTTTGATCACATACGATCAAATTCAGAATTCAGAACCGCTATAGAATCTCTCACAAAGTCTAACTCTAAAACAAAACAAAACAAAACAAAAATATTTCTAAAATTCAGGTCTTACAATAAGTATGTCTTTGAGTAGTTCCAAAACACATTTTGCCTCGGAATGGTGGGCACTTTAAATATGGATAAGTAATTTACCTTTCAAGTAGCTCAAATAGGGAGGGAGAGAATAGGAGCGAATGTCAAGGGCAAGTAGCCTCCACTTAACTCAGGGTTTTTGTCTTTTTATTCCTCAGCTGTGGGTTATCAGTAGTCTTCACAAGGTGGAACTAGCCTACAGGAATTTCACTTCCACATCTATTCATTCATATTTAAAATGGATTACGTTTCGAACTGTATCTCCTTTAACTTATTAAAATATTAGCTATTATTTTTTAGGTCCTCAGTATATACCAAACGATATCTAAGCATTTCAACTACATTATTGCATTGAATTTGATTCCAAAACAACAACCCTCTGAGGTAAGTGTAATTATCTCCATTTTTAGATTTGGTAACTGAGATTTAGAAAGATTAAGTCAGTTCACCATGACAGAAAATGGAAAGAACTGGGATTTGTATCATCTGGCTGATTTCAAATCCGGTGTCCTTGTCCATTTAGCTGTGCTGTACAATACGGTATACAGGAAACCGTTTTATCTTTAGACTCAGGACACTCAGGTTGAAATCCCAGGTATTAGCTGTGTAAATTTAAGAATTCCCCGATCATTTCCTCAGTGTACATTTCCCCATTGTAAAATGAGGTATATGATAACTCTCTTTAATTCACGGGAATATGGTGAAAGTAAATTTTAAAAGGAAAGCTTTTTATAAATTATAAAGATCCTTGCAAATAAATACTATTCTAAAGTTTATATTTGCACATATCAGATACATGTAAATGCTTGTTGAATTTAATTTTGATAGACTCTGTGGAATAGGCACAGTGACCATTAAGCCAATTTTAGGTCATAATAGTAAGGAGCCTAATTTCTATGCTAAAAAATTAGGTGAATTAAATGACTTCATGCTGATGTTTTGATGAGGCTTGATGATTTTCTTAGTCAAGACTGCCTCCCATTCCCGCTTGGTGGCAAGTAAAAAAAGTCATTTAAATGTACTAGAAGAACCTCGTGTTTCTTAAGGCGCCTAAGGACCGCTGCATCTCATGAAGGCCAGAGAATCAGTAGGTAAGAACTGTTACTCTCTCTTTGTCTTTGCTTGCCTCTGTATGACTGATTTATTTACCAGGTTCAAAATGGAAACGTCCACTAGGTTTAATATCTTCTCAAGTTCAAATTTCTAAGGTAGTATAACCAGAATTTCTGGATCCCAGGTCCAAATTCTCTGGGGAGAGAATCTCATTGGCCCAGCATTGGCCAATATTTACTCTTATTACAAGATTTCTCATACTCAACCTTCAGTATTTTTAAAAATTTCATGATGAATAATTATTCTTTGTTTGGGTGGGGGTGGAGTGAGGTTCTCCTGTGCACTGTAGGATGTTTGGCAGCATCCCTGGCCTCTACCTACTAGATGCCAATAGATGCTCTCCCAACCCCTACTCAGTGTTGTAACAGCAAAAATATTCAGACATTATCAAATGTCCCCTGGGGGCAGAGTCACCTCTGGTTTAGAAACACTGCCCTGTTAATTAAACACTGTTAATCTATATCCATAATTCATATAGTTAATATCTCTGTGCCTAGAATAGAGTGCCCTGTGACTAAGGTTAGAGCATCACAAAACAAACATGGCCTCAATGACTCACCCCTCTAGAAGGGGGTAGTTCTCAGAGGAAGAAAGGTGTCTGGTTGGCAATTATCCTAAAAGTTGTCTACTATAGGAATAAGAGATGTTGGTGAAAATTATGATTTTTTTACTAACTTTTGTATATTTTTTACTAACATAGCCAAATCTCTTAAAATTAATTAAGAGTTTCAGAATTTTGAGTGCTGTATGAATTGAAGGCATATTTAATTTTCAAAGTTGGAGAACACTCATGTGTGCTGTTTTCTCATTCTTTTAATAGAGTGATTTCCAAAACTTTGGCTCCCTATCAATTAAAGAATGATCATTCAGCACTAAAATATTACTACTACTACTACAAAAGAACAATTTGTAATATATTTTTCTATTCTACAAAAATACATATAAAATGCAACAAATATTAAATTAACTAAGATAGTTTTATTTGATTTCATTCACTAATAGTATTATTAAAAGTACTACATGGGACTTCTGATCCAGAAATAATGGCATACGCCTCCTTTTCCCTGCCCTTCCTTACTAAGAACAGCTATACCATGGAAATAATGCAGAAGGCAATAATGCAAAGGAGAACTCTGAAAGGTGTTGAGACAAAGGCAAACTGGTTTGGGACCCTGAACTGGAGGAACAACACAGTAGTAGGCATCTTATGTCTCCCTACTCAACAAGAAGAAAGGAATCCAAACTAGCATTCCCTAAATGGAAGCTAGCAACAGAAAGCAGCCCAAGTAGGCTTATACATTCCCCAGATCTAACTTGTGGGCCTCAAGAATGCAAGGTGAGGTTGGCTGGCCTGAGAGTTCCCTCCCCCTCCAGAAGACCAGGGGTGGGTGGGGGGGACCCACCAGAGGGGCGCAGCCACAACCAGCAGCCAACCGGGAAGTGTCCCTTGGTAAAAGAAGTAAGTGAATGAGTAAAAATTAATTTTTAAATTTGACAACTCTGAAGTTTTTTGCCGTGAGAGGACCTGAGGACCTCTGCACACTTAACAATTTCCATGGTTACTTGCCACTTCATCACAGAGTATTACAACCATTCTTCTATATTTTAGAAATCTTGACTCTGTGCAAATGGCCACATCAATGTTATTTCAGCATCGTGTGCAACTCGATTTCAACTACTTTGCTGTTAAAACATTGTCTACAAATATTGTAGTGAATTTATTTCACATATTAATCTAATCTTTACAATCCTGCTTAAAATTCTTGCCAAAACATAGCTGCCATGAAACAGTATTTCTGTCAAATAAGTTAAGTCTACACTGAGATACTATGTTTCATCTAACTTTTTGACAAAGACCGGAAAGTTTGATAATATACTGTTTTACCCAGGGAATAGGGAAACAGGCATTCACACACATTGCTTCTGGCAGAGAAAACTTTTACAAACTTTACAGAGAGCAAGATTTCCATGTTAGTGATCTCTATCAAACTGCATAAACACATGTCCTTGACCTTGTAATTACCACTTCTAGGAATTAACACTACAAGTGAATTCATGCATATATGCATGGAATAAAAAAAAAAATTAAGGGGCATTATAGCATGTAAAGCATGCTAGCATTTGAGTGAAAAAATGGGCTGGAATATACACATATTTCCTACTGTGTGCATAAATAGTCTCTGGAAGAATACACAAAAGTAGCCAGTAACATTTTGTTGCCTAGGGGTAGTTGAAGGACAGTGGCAGAACAAAAGTGGCAAGACATTTTTACTTTATGTTCTTTTATATTTATGAATGTTGAACATGAAAATGTCCATGAATTATTTTTTTAAAAAAGAAAGAAATCATTTACCAAAGAGAGTATTTTTCCTATACCTGTTTCTTTGGTGGCTTACAGTAAAGTAATTATTTTTGTATTTCCTTATTGAAACAGAACCTAACAAACATGAATTGAGACAAATTAGAAATATCTGGACTTTCATCCAACAGTATAATAAGTTTCCATAATATCTAATATTTGTATATTCATACTTTCAATCACATTCTCTGTGTCTTCTATGCTAATAAAGGAATAAATTTCATATTGCCACCACACTGGTTTCCATATATTATTCCAGCTGTTGTTATTGCAGCAGGAAGATATATATACCACTTATATAGAGCATTTTGTTTTTCCTTTTTAAAGAAACCATTTATCCTTAAGATTAGTAAAAATTCAGTGCTGATTTAAGTATGGCTTTAAGAATGCTGAAAAAATAGATACTTGTCTTTGTATTCAATATACTTTGTTTTTAAATGTCTTAGCAGTGATGATAGCTTATATTTACTTTAATGACTAATGCAAGAAACAATATAGGCAAGGGCAAGATACACTGTTATTTAATAGTTAATCTATATCCATAATTCATATAGTTAATATCTCTGTGCCTAGAATAGAGTGGGGACACAGTGCTCTGTTTTTTTCTCTCTTTTTTTCTTTTTCTAATAAATGAATGGTGTTATAACAAAGTACTGGGGAAAAGTACTGAGATATTAGGTTAAGCTCAAACGGAGTTACCATTTTGTACACATTTGAATTTCCTACTTTCTCTGTTATACAGACTCTTAAAACATGGTTAATATCAGCACATCTGTGTTGTTGATAGCATTAACCTGGAAACCACAAAGAAATGTAAGAAACAATTATATATTATGTTTCATTTGAAAGCTATGAAATTAGGCAGTTTACTTGAATAGAAGCAAACCCACCACAAAGAAGCAAAAGCTCATTTTCATGTTTCTGATGACCCAGAAGTGTGAAAAGCATCAATTATTAAAATTTCTTGACCATTTCAAGCCCATGCCTTCTCAGTGTTGAACACTTACAGGTCTGGCAATGATTTTCTGTGGGTCCCCAGCATCGGCCCGTACAGGACTTATGACAACGTCCACCTGTAGAATAGGAAAAAGCACATATACATTATAATCTTTCAGTCTTTGACTAGAAGCAACTCTTCAATGAAAATATTCTTGCTCCTTTATGGGGATTTTTATATTATACTATAGTTGAAACGTAGCTCATAAAATGCCCACTTGAGTTGAATGTCAAATGCATATGAACCTGAAATACAATCTCCTGATACTCAAAATCTTCTCATCACTTTATAAGAAGTTTCAAGCATTTAGGGGCACCTGGGTGGCCCAGTGTGTTAAGTATCCAACTCTTGCTTTGGCTCAGGTCATGATCTCAGGGTTGTGAGATTGAGGCCCAGAGCCCCACATAGAGCCCAGAGTCAGGCTCTGCACTCAGCAGGGAGTCTGCTTGAGATTCTCTCCCTCTGCCCACCCCCAATCCCCTGCACTTATGCTCTCTCTCGCTCTCTCAAATAAATAAATGTTTTTAAAAAGTTTCAAGCATTTAAAACATAAACTTCTTAGAAAGTTTAATTTCAGCTATTTGACATCCTCTTTTAAAAATTTTGTTGATACTACCTTTATTTTCAAATACAAACTCTTATCTCCTGCAGCAGTATCTTCCTCTTAAGGACTTTGCTACTCTAGGTATTTGGCTCAGCAAATACAGTTGTCCCACAGAGCAATTCTCCTAAGGACTCAGCAAAAGAATATTAGCTAGGAGAAATCATATATAACGATTTTCTTTGAAGGTTGCTTCTGAATTTCAGAAGTTCACTCTAAGTATTTGTGGGTATAAGGGTATAGAAGTGCTTATTTTTAGAATAAAAAGTATACCTGAAAATGTATTAAAGACTAAAGCTTTTTTTTTTAAAGATTTTATTTATTGATTTGAGACTAAAGCTTTTCTATAATTCTTATTAAACCTTCTCTTAATTTTCTAATATTAATTGTGAATGAGTATATGCCTATACAAGATGTGTATTCTAATGTAATAAACTATATGGTAAAAATTATGAAATAGGGTTATATCAAATGTTTCCTTCTTTCTTTGACTCATGAGTTTCAACTCTTCAACTTGAAAGATCTTACAACTTGGGCAGTTTTTTTGTTGTTGCTGTTGTTTTGTTTTGTTTTTCTCTCTCTCCTTAAGAGACTGCCTGAATGAACTTGTTATGTTAAATGTTTTCACAGTTAAGGAGCAGATTCAGTTAAGGAGCTGAACCTCGGACCATCCAAATGGTCTACCCTTCTGCAAGTGAACAGTATTATTTCCAAGTTAATGTAACACTTAGGCTCAATTCCAGTCACCTTCTTAAAAGTATCAGGATCCTTGCCACAAAAGAGTTTATTTAAAGCAATTCTGTTTGTGAAGCACTGTTGCTGACATCACCAGCATATAATATCCTGTCACTCTGCCATCTGTTTATTTAGATCCAAACACATTATAACTACATAATGCAAGCTCATTCTAGCTGACAGGAAAAGGACTCCATCTGGCCTGAACAATATAACTTTAATCAGTGATAATGATAATTATTATTAAAAACCTACTGGAGCTCTTTTGTACAATGCTAATAAATCTAATTTGATTTATACCAGCGGAAATTAGAAAGGGCTGTGAGACAAAATGGGAAGCAGAGAAAACTCTGAGTACAAACTTTTTATGAGAAAGTAGCTAAGGTTAATATATTTCTTTAGATGTGTTAAAATCTTTTAAATCAACCCATTAAGTGGTCTGTTAATTAAAGATATCTGAAGCAGAAGATGATCTACTTTTTAATCTATGACTTCTTTAATTGTGTTAGAGGCTAGTGAAATATTTAGCTGTATTCACTGTGACCAGCGCACTCTTGGTAGCTGGGGGGAGGGGGGGTAGCTAAGTAATAGAGGACATTTTAATATACTCAGTGTTCCATTTTTATTAGATTATATATTTTCTACCTTTTTATTCTTGCAGTTTTGATTTAGCACCCCAAGACCTATGCCTAGATCCAATATAAAAAGGAATATTACTAGAAATTTGGTTTATGATTCTTGACAAAGTATCATGGCAAGAGCCACCTAGTTGGAAACAGATGATCTAGTACCCACACACACACAAAGTTTAAATAATTTAACCTTCACTATGTACATGTTGTTAGGAAATTTTGTTTGGTAGTGTCCATTTTTTATTCAGATTTAAACAAAAATATCTATTACTGCTATAAAAGGAAGCTAACAACAACTGCCCCTCTTCTGGGATTTTACCCAGTCTTATATTCCCTTCAACCCTTTTGGTAACCAAGAGGAGGGGGATCACTTGGCTCACACATTTCAGAATTCTATTACTACACACATGGGAGGAACCATGACCTCAATGTGCTCCACAAATTGTTGCTCATTCTGGCCTGAGCTTCATTTGACTGTCTGACTCTTTGGAATCTGCCGACACATTCAGTTCAGCTTTAGTCTTCAAAAGTGTGCCATATATGGCCCTTGGGAAAACACTATTTTCACTGAGTTGTTGCAATTCAGTAAGTGTCAAAATATCTGAACAAAATCTGACCGGAGGTATTTCTGAATTAACGTATTTGCCATACTTTCATGTCTGCAACCTTAGTTTGATTCTTGTAGACAGCTGGGTAGTGTAGTTTAATATGCTTTAAAACATGCTTTTAGGTTTTTGTTTTCAACAGTTCTGCTGCACACAAGTGTCAAAAAATGAGAAGGTAGGTAAGGGGTTTCCTTATTAACTACCTATCTATAATAGGAAAAACAAAACAAAAAACAACTACAATTTTTTTCCCCTACCTTCTTTCCATCTATTTATCCAAAAGTATTTTTTCAGTTCCTTCTGCATCTGTGTATTAGGAACTATGTTAAGTATCAAAACAGACATGGTGACTTCTCTAAGAGAGTTTAGAATTAATTTAGCATTATTTTAAAGGGAAATGATTTTGTTTACTCTGTATCTAATGTTCACCTTCTATGGGGTTTAAGGAAAGAAGCCAACAAATCTAAATTTTTAACAGTCCTCTTACTCAGGCAAGAAGAGTTGGATGCAGCCAGGTTGAATTGGACCATTTCCAATGTAATGCCTCGTGGCTTGGAAGTCCACTACATTCCTTATACAGTGATTTATCTATATGACATCTAAAATGAGATCAGCCCAGAGCATTTCAGTGGAGAGGATAAGTATGGCCCATGAAGGATCCCCTGTGTGTCCTCTACAGAAAGAAAAAAACTTTAATGGTGGCCCATTATCTTCCTAAGAACTTCCTGTTTTCTATTCTCAGATTCTCAGGCATTCAGTGTCTCAGGAGGGCTGATTTCAAGGGGAAAAAAGACCATATATTCACAACTCTTTTACTGTGAATTAATTTTATAAATAACTTCTCTAGTAGTATGTTTTTAAAATGAGGACAGCAGAAAGAAGAGATAGATACTAGTCTATGTAAATGGAAAACATATTTTGGGGCACGGAGACCTTGCCAGTGTTGTCCAAATCTTCCTATTTCCAAGTCTCAATCTGCTACATGATTCTCTTCCATTGTTTATTACAATAATTCTTTTAAAACTGTGTGAGAAAATGTGCCACTTAAAAAATAAGAATCTGACATTTCCATTCAGCTTAGTGATAGCATAGTTATTTAAATCAATACTCCTACCTCTTGTCACTCTGACTCAAAGAGGTGAAATATAAAACACAATTTTAAACAAATATTTCTGTTCACTTTTAGCAACCATTGTAATCTTTTAAAGTAAGTGCTGATTACTGCACATCAGCATTATTTTAATTTACAATCACCTCTACTTTGACAACTCATTATTCATCACAGAAGTTAGCAAATATGACTAAATTCATCTTTTATGCTTGTCCAGCAGAAGTTATTAAAAACGTAGCTTTCACATTCTTTTTTTTTTTTTTTTTTAGGAACTACAGTCCCTGAGCCACTTTGTAAATTCATGCTAGAAGTTTTCCTCATTTGTGGGACCACCTGACAGAAGAAATGGAATTTAACATTTACCTTTGGACTGCTTTCTGCAAGTAATATGCCAAGACAGTAGTTACAAAATATGAAGTGAATGGCAACCATAAAAGATTATATCCTCAAACTGCTTCTAGCTAAAGGCAATGCAGTTATATCTCTGGATTCTTCTTTTAGTCCTTTTAAAAACCGGCAGTTTTGACCTCTTAAAACTTTCTTTACTGGGAAAAGAGTGAAAGAATAGTATCTTTTTTGTGACCCTATAATTCAGAAGGGAGAAGTGGAACATTTATTGGAAGTCTACACTAAATCAGTCCCTATTCTTGAATGGATGATAAAAACATGAATAAGTAAAAGCCCTGCCCTCAAGGAGCTTTCAAGAACCAGGAAATAAGTAGAAGGATAGGCAAATGATTATGATAATCACATTTGCTAAAATATAGGTATGCATAAAGTGGAGAGGACGGATTTGAAAGAGGCTCCATGGAGGGGCAGGCATTTCAATTGGTCTTGAATGTCTAGTTTGTCAGAAGAGGAAGGAAGTTCCAAGCTCAATGACTAACCTAAGCAATGACACAGAGGCATGGATGCACACAACTCTTTGGGGCCATAACGAATACTTTATAGTCCTTTGAGCTATTTGCATCGGGACAGCATCTGGAGGGTAAGCTTACAAGGTGTCTTGAAAATCTTCTAAATAGGTCACAGTTTACTCTGTTCAGGTGTTATGGAGTTGGTCAAATTTTTAAAAACTGAAATTATGTGGTTTGATCAGCAGAGTGGAAGAGAATTTCAGGTTATGGTTCCCAAAAGTTAGTGTTGAGATTTGAGAACCTATGCAAAGTGCTGATTTTATAGTCTGGGGCGAGTGAGGTACAGGAATCCATATTTTAAAAAAGCAATCCCAGGGATTCTGATGATGAAGTTTCCAGATGACAAAGTATGGCTAAGAAATAATGGTTTGGCATATAATTCCAAACATCATAGTCATATTTTGAGACAATACTTTAACCGTAACATTTGATCAGATGCTTGGTAACCAAACTCACAGGATTAAATGGTGTAAAA